GCAGGAATGGGTAAATGAGATTTACTCTCTTAAGTAAATGGCACGAGAGAAATTTGTTTTATACCATTGTTGCCTATACATTAGAAGATCTGAACCAAGTCCAAAGACTGAAAGAAACTACACAGGCCGCTGTAACACATCCCTCATGAACCTGCTACTGGTATGTCAACTTGTACAAGCCAGACACCACAGAACGCTCATCAAAAACTACCTAGAGGTGAAAGTGTAAGCATTTTCACTGAAACAGCTGGACTAAATGCCTGTGTAACTTCTCTCATTTTGAGATAAAGGGCAACAAAACTCAATCTTCCCTAAAGCAGCAAGAGAGTGGTTTTATTTCTAAATGTTCATATCCACACGCTTTAGTTCACAGGCTTCTGTTACACATATTAAGTATATTCAGTTTTGTTTTCCTGCTTGCCTATTACATTCCTGTATAGAAGTGATTCAGAGGCTCTGCAGACTTGCTATGATGAGGAGACTGGTGCCTGATTAACATATTAAAAGTAAAAGATATCTTCATTCACAAGAGAGTAACCTACTTGCAGGGCCCCTGGCTCAGCTGAGGTAACTGCAACTTCCTGCTACCCGCAATGGGAGATTTGTTCGGCTCCTGTTCTCACTGCTCAGACATAATCGAGTATTTTAAGCAAAAAGTACCTAGAAAGAAAAAGGTATGTGTCTTTCATAAGTTGAAAAGCAAATTCAACAAGTACTTTCACCTGGGGGTGGGGTGGGGGGGGGGCAGGGAACAACTAGATTTAAAAACCAAAAGCTAGAAGAGTTCTCTAATCAGTATCTTTATCAGGGGATTGAGCATTCAAACACATTTTTTGGGAGATTTGGTTTAATTCTTTCTCCTACTCGAGTGTATACAAATTACCAATTCCCACAGGAATGACTTAATCCTGAATTTAGAGAGTGTTCTTGTTGACAGTATTTTGCTTTGAACACCCAGACACTTGAGTGAAGCCTGGGAGCCAGGTATCCCACTTACATCACTGTCGGATCCACAGGGCCAGTGGACAGTTCAGTGCCAGCACTAGAACCAGTTTATTTTGCATTACACATTTAAATACTCAAAGAAAGATGCTCCACGTGTCAGCTGGGGTGATCTCCAGTGAGCCACAATCCTGCCCTCCCAGGCACCAGAGGAAATTGCAAACCGGCCTCCTGTATTGTAGGAAGTGCCCAAACTACCAAGCTGCTCCCAACACCAGCTCCTCCTCTAACATTTTTCAGAAGATCAAAACTTTTCTTGCCCCTGTGCTCCTTACAAGTAACTCAAGTGTTTTTAATAAGGGATAAATGAAACGTTTTTGTTCATGATGAATTCATACTGCATTGAGGAAAAAAAAAATCCAAATTCAGTTCAGATAGAAATGATGTCTTCTTATAATTCAGCAGACATAGTGGGGGGAAAAAAACCAAAAAGATCAAAACTTATTGATTACTCACACAACATTAAGACACATTTGTCTGGTTCTTGGAAAGATGAGCACAGGCCCAGCTTAGCTGGAAGATGTCCCTAATAAAGCTCTCGGTAACCTAGTCTGACCTTGTAGCTGACCGCTTTAAGCAGATGGTTGCACTAGAGACCTTTTGAGGTATCAGAAAACCTGAATTATCCAGTGATCCTTACAGTTATTAGGCCATTTGGTACCACCTACATACACTGAACATCAGCAAGTCTGGGGTTCCTATCCTCCCTCATACTTTTGAATATCTTCATGAACACTAGCTACACAAAACAAATGAATGGGTTTGGCTTCTCAATCTTCTTGTGAGATTTCAGATTATACCCACAAAATCTGCTCATAAGTGTTCCTGCACTTACAGCTAGACATAGCTGTAAGATGGGTAGTCACAGTTATTTCCAACTCATCCATCTACAGATGATGACTTTGCTAACGTCTCCCAACTCTGGCAGAGATAGAAAAAGGACTCCAAAGCCCCAGCAGTTGCACTGACTTCTCATTTTTATGATTAGCACAAACAAAAAAAATAAAAAATTTGATTTTAAAAGCTAATGGTGGCAGAATCTCAGGCACAGTGTCCTAAGTGGGGAAGTTCATTGGAACCCTGACAGGTTGAAGCAGGGTACAGGAGGTGCTCATCACTTTTCATTTTAGCTGGTGCTGTGATGACATAGAGGCCAGTAACTACGGCTGGCAGGTTGAAAAACACATTTGAACAGAGTTGTTTAAGAGTTTTAGCTCTATGAAGTTTCAGGAAAGAGCAAACTTTGGTGACACACTCCTTTAGTGTGTGAAAAGCCAGAAGAATGCTTAGGATGAATACTGGAGTCTTCTATTTGCTATATTTGTACAGTGTATTCACTGGAGGCTGTATAGCGAGTTTGGTCTCAATGGGACAAGATGGCATGCAGTCAGGAAAGCAGACCAAGTTTACCAGCACTCAGGAGTCAGCTCAGAGGATGTTGCAGTAAGTGCTTCCCCCCACATCCACCAGTGACCTCCAACAGACCATTGTGCCACATCCTACTTGGCCAAGCCTTTAAGAGCAGCTCTGCCAGCTGCCACAGGGCAGGGAAAAAAAAAAAAAAATCAATGCATCAAAGGTGTAGGGCTCTTAAGCTGAGAACTCCCCTACCAAACCTGAGGTTCACAGAGGATTTAAACATGAAAGTGGTCCTGGGCTGTTATTCCATGTTTTAACTGCTTCAAGACATCAAGTTGCTTTAACTGGATCCCAGTGGATCATCAGCCAACAACAGGCAGAAACTGGGCCATGTCTCAGGAGCTCCACCACACACTGGGCAGCACTACAGATAATCAGTCTCAGAAAAACTTTTGCTGGCCCAAAGCCCTACACTGCCAGGACTTCACAGCTCTGAATAAGCTGTTGGGTTTTTTTCCTATGGGAATCACCTGCAACAACATATTACATGCCTGTGACAAAACACTAAATACCACTCCTCACTTAATAGCATGTTCCTTGCCTCTTCATTATCCGCTAGTCCTTTCGGGGATTGCTGTCAAGAGTTATTATACTGTGTTAACTAGAGAAGGAAAGATCAGGAGGAGGGTGTCCTCTTCCTTTCTTCACTGTGAGATATTTTACTGGCTCTATTTGTAATTTTAGAAAGGGCTTTTGAAATTCATACAAATAAGTACTTACCTTTACCACCAGAAAGTGGTAAGGCAGCACTAGGCAACAGCATCCATCCACCCAAGACAAAGGGGGACATCCAGGCTAAAGGACAACCCTCTTCCTACTCTTAGGCTAGCACAGACAACCTCAGTCTTATCACAGGCCTTTTCCCTAGCACATTCTCTGAAATTACATAACCCTTTGGCCCTTTGACTTTAGGAACTTTCATCTTGTGCTCCACTCTGAACTTGCTTTGACCTCTGGTCTGTTAATCTAAACTAACTAGGAGGAGAGTAAACACAGAAAGGAGACGCTTTGTGTTGGCAAGGAATAAAGATGTCTTAGGGACAAAACCAGCAGCAAATTAGCTTCTCTTTCTTTAATCATGCTTAGTATTACAGCTCTAAAAGAACTCTGACGATGATTCTTTAAGGCACTGAAGAGAGTGGATTCCTATGGAAATACTTGCAGAAGATAAGATAACATACAAGATCTGGGATGACATGATACGTAAAAAACGGCATTGAAGAAATCGCTTAAGTGTAATTGTGGGGAAGAAGAATCAGCAGGACAGGGCTATTCATCCAACATGATCAAAACTTAAAAATGTAGTTCCATTCAAATTATGAGATTGCCTAAAAACTACATAGGCTTTGTGATATTACTTTCAACGACAGATTTTGGTTCATACACAGCTGTTCTTTAGAGCTTTGAGGTTCAGGTACCAAGTGTGTATAGCCTGCAGGCTAGAACTTTATTTTTTAAATTAAATTTGCATACTACTTTTAATCACTAGTGGAAATGGGGCTCATTTTAAATGGAAGAAGGGTACAGGACAGAAGATGCTGCAACATGGAGATTCAAACTACGTTAGCGGGGAAAGAAGCTGATGTACCTCAGTTGTCATTACTGGAGAAAGCAGCCAACATGTCTTCCTGTGTTCCAGTGACTGAGTATTCTGGTGAGGACTTGAGAAATGTACCAAAGGAGGACTTGGAGTTGAATCACAAAGATTCTTCATAAAAATCTTGATGTAATATCTGTAAGTTCCTAAGAATCTTTCTTCTCCATTACCATTTTAATTATACTCCTTCTGAACTCATTTGCCAGAATGCCTTAGTTTTTAACTCCTATACATTAAAACTTGTGAAGCTGGGCTTGCCTTCAATGGTTCCATATTCACAGCCTGGGATAAGCTTCTCCTTGCCACTTAAGGCCCCAAAACCTCAACAAATCCTTCTGAAAAAAACCTTCTCAATTGTGTGATTTACCCATAGCCTTGCCTTGCACATGAAGCTTCCTACTGTGAATCCCTCATTTGAATTTCATTTTTGGAAAGGACCTTGTTTCTTTACTTGACATAATCAATTACCCTTCTCAGTTGTGCAATGATGTCTGGATCAATGAGGCTGTATCAGCCACTATCTCAACTTGCATAAAAAGAGGATGGGTAACAGACCCAAGGTGAGGCTCTGTATCTTCCTCTTCTACAACATACTCTTAGAGTGTTAAGACACTAACATGTGTGCAATTAACAATTCAACTTGAAAAAGCAAAAGCAAGGGCAATTATCTGCAATTCTCTGCACAGAGCTAATTTAGAATCATAGAATGGCCTAGGTTGGAAGGGACCTTAGAGATCATTTAATCCAACCTACCTGTCATGGGAAGGGATGCCTCTCAACTAGATCAGGCAACACACAAGGACCGAGCGGGGATCAAACCTGTGACCTGGGTGTTAATTTGTACAGCATTCTCAACTCCACAGTTAAAAACATCATGAACAATCCCTAGAATCACAGCACCAGCTTTACAGTTATGAAAGATAGCTGTAATGTGATTCTTTTTATTTGTCCCATGCTATCAAATAATTCCTGCCACCCATCATAGAAGGGAATTTACTTTAAAAAAAAAAAAAAAGAGGAAAAATGTAACTTAGGCTTTCATGGAGTAACAGTCAGAAACCTTTAGTATTTAGTCTAGATCTTTGCCAACATCACATAAAATCCCTTATATTTTAACATGACAAATTTGATTCTTCCTGAACGTCATTAACTTTAATTGGTTGTGGTAAATGAGAGTCACTATGACAGCTTTGAAACTGATGAGGATTAACTACTGAGGCGAGCAAGGCAGCTCTGAGCAGGCGATGCTTTGTACCAAAGGCTGGAACGCCGGAAACCCGCAGCCTGTGTAGCCCATCTAGTGAGTCTCCACTGCCACCATCTGGTACCAGCCGTCCCTGGTAGTACAACTTACCCGACAACACGGGCAAAGAAGCAGGGCAGACAGACAGACGAACTGAGTCACAGGAAAGTGACACACACTCCCCCACATGCAGAAAACCTCTCTGAATTCTTGTTTGCAGGTTTAACGTTCTAAAGTGAATGTATCTTCACTAACAGAGAAATCAAAAGAACTCTCTACCTGAGCAAAAAAAAAAATAAAATAAATCCTTAATCTAAATTGCCATTGAAGAGAGCTGACAGCTTCAGCACAAACAGGAAAACAGCTAGAGGTTTTTTTAATATTCAATTATATCTCCATATACTCTCCCCACAATGCTTTTTATAATACTAGGTAACACGATAGGAAAAAAAAAAGCAGGGTAAATTATTAAAAGTTCTGGGGACTGAGGATATGCACTGAAAATAATTAATAGTATCTGTCTTAAGCAACACTCTCCCTAAATGCATTTTGTTGCTTCCTTTCTTTCCCCCATCCCCTCTCACCACTCTGCTTATTTCCATCGTTCTTTCATGGCTTTGCATTACTTATGCTGAAACCTGACTCAACTGAATTGTTTAATTTATCCAGCTATTTTACTTTCACCTAAACAAGCAGTTCTTCACCCAGTACGGGTAGTAAAATGAAGGAATAATTCATAAATATAGCCTCTGAAGATTCAGCAGCCAATATTAAAGAGTTTTTTCAAAATCATTCCTTCTTCTTGGGACAAGATTAGAAATCATTCCTGCACGGCACTGACAAAGCATTTCTAGGCCTACGTTCACAGGTGCTTATCTACTGCACGCTAAATGAAGCCCTATAGGGCTGAAGCAGTGTCTGATTGAACAAGCCCTCATTGCCATTCCTTTCTCACCTATGAGTGGCCTCGAGAGCACAGAACTCTTACCAATGGTTGTTATTGCAGAGATGGAGAAGAAGAAAGACCCGCTGAAGTCCCACCTGCCCAGGCTAGTGGTGTTTCCCTGGAGGGTTATGCCACTTTTGTAGGCTTGGATGATACCCTGCAAAAAGACAATATCATGAGATCCTACAAACCCCTTTATGGCAAGTTCATGTGACTGGCATTTGCATTGCTGCCTGGTCACAAAATATAACTACTTCCAGCTCTGTTGTTTCCCTTTCTAATAGAGGATATCTTGTGCCTTAGAGACCAGAGTTGAGAGGTTAGAAAAGCCAAAAGCCAGCATATCAATTTTTACAAAATAAAAGAAAGTTGCACATGCACATGGCAGATCAGACAGGTAAATGTGGAAGAGATTGGAGGGCAAGTACTACCCAGAGAAAGCCTAGCCACATAGTAAGACTGCCCTATGACATATTCATTAGAAAAAGAGTTTCCAGATAGAACATTCTGATGGCAGAAGTCTCTGAGTAGCACACATATATGCACATGTACAGGATACTGAAAAGCAATGTTTATGGTGTGATGTAGGAGGTGTAGACTATGCAATCTACTAGTATTGGGCAATATGTGCCCACATCAGGACTATAACTATGAATAAATTGATTAGATTAGCATGATGCCCAATTCTGTTCAATCCATCTGGGAAAGATTCAAAAGCCACTGTGCTGAAGCATGCAGAATTGTGACAGTGAGCTATCAGATGTCTGAATAATGCCTACACCTGACTATATCTCCTCATGCCACTATAGTTAATGACATTGAACTGAGTTGTGTCCAAAACAACATCACACTATGTACACGAAACATTTCACACCCACTGACCAAGAATTGAGAGTTGTGAGAGTTGTAAGAGTCGCAAAGTGTAGCCAAGAAAGGCATGCACATAACAAATAACACGACCCCTATCCTGACAATAGGGCTGCTGATAAACCTTTCACTGTTGCTAATAAAATGTTACATTCATCAGTAAGCCAACACTTCAAGCATGCAAAGCAAGGCAGCTTTGCTCCATTTTACTGATGTAACATGCTGTAAATGATTTATATAATATTATAAAGGGCTACGAATTAAAAACTGTTCCCAGAGATCCAAGCAGTAGAGCTACTAGTTCTCACATCAACGGGAGATTAATATATTTCTCTAAGTAAGAAACACTTTCATAGTTGCATTCTCAAAAATATCTTCATTTACTCATAAATCAAGGTAATTTGAGCCATTCAGGGTAACATTATAATCTATTAAAATCTGACAATATGCTCTTCTCTGCACAAGACAGAGCAGAGAGCCCTTGCTCTGCAGAGGGCTAAGGACCTGATGCTATATTATATTATGCTTCCTTCTGTGAATTGTTGCCATAACTTGAGGGGAACAACTCACAGAAATAGATTAGCATGCAGCATGAGTGACATGAAAGAATCAAACACCTCCTCTGAGAAAAGAAGCCTCCAGCAGGATTTGTTCCAGGTAGCCATCTACAAAATTTCCCTCCCTTACCCCCACCCCTTCTCTCCAGGGCTAGTGTCCGCAGGGAGGTTTATCAGGTTGCATGGGATGCAGGCTCTGACTTTTCTCTATCCTTTATCTCTGATAGTACTTGACCTTAGGTTTGCAAAGCGTAAGAAGCTCTTCAGATAATAGCCTAGTCAGGAATCCCAAACCCCCTGAATATAAAATAGCTCTCAAATTGAATCATATGGCAAGAGAGACACTGGAAATATACTGTGATTTGTTTTTTATCTCTCCAGAAATTACTGGTTAAAGTTAAAAATTAAAAGATTGTTATTCTCTTAAGTTTTCCTTCTGCAGTCTGTGATCTCTGCAGTTTTAAGTAGCTAGTTTTGAACATGTATACACCTGCTGGAACAATAGTCCAGCTGTCAGAAAAATTTATAATCAGAGAGACTCAAAAACCCTCACAAATACAGCACATTTTGTTCATTCTCCCACCTGTTGTCCTACTCATACAAGCTCAGCAATTGATAACATTACACACATCAAGTTTTTAAAGCCAGAAACACTGAAGAACCCGAAAGGATTGCAAGAAACTGTGGCTGAATCAGCCCAAATGGAAATTTCTTCATGCAGAAAGGGGAAAAAAACAACCTTGGCAAGACATGTGAGAAGCAAGCAGCAGTAACCAAGTCATTAAATGTTTAATTTCGCATCATGACACCTCTTCTGTTTTGCATGGTTTAGAGACACAGGGCAGTTGCAAGCACCTATGCCAGCTTTGCAGTGATTTATAACAGCGCAGTGTCTCAGAGCCCTTGTCTTCACCTTCCCCGAGGTGATGCTACTGCCAGGAAGAACCCACTTCAGCTTATCCACAGACTCCTAACACAAACTGTTTGCACTGTATGGCACAGTGTTCCCGAACTCATCCCAATGGGAAGGGAAGGACCATGTAACTATTACTCATTGGCAGAGAGCAAGTATTGAGTTCACAGTGCCAGCTGTTTGCTGTTCCTGGGATTGAGGCACTTCATATATTTGTGGTAGGTCTTCAAGAGCTCTCAGCAGTAAACCTCTGGCTAAGCATTCCTTCCTTAAGTCTTGTCATCAAACACCCAGATAACATCATTATCCATTAGGCCCACAACACATGCCACAGCCCTATATGCAGACCACTGAACACTCATGCAAATCAAAGTCACTTGAATAAACAGACACTTCCAGGAGAAATGTCAGGTTCATTACTATTAGGAAGAAAGAGCCACAAATGCCATCCTTAAAGGAAAGGATTCACAGATAGTGGAGATAATAATAATTTTTTAAAAAAGCCAGTATACTTATAACATCTAGAATCAACCTTTGACACAGCAACAGTGGTGACAGACAATTAAAGATTGATTGTTTTGGGAACAGTAGAACTAATGGAGCTTGCCTTTCTACAGATGTTCCTATAGAGGTGGATTCACAAAAAAGCAATCAATAGATAGCTATTAATACACAGAAATCACTTGTGACACAGGAAGTCATTGGATAGCAAACTCCTGAAGGCTGAGAATGCTTTCAGGAGTATATTGGTGTATACTTCCTTTAATTTAATATGTTCCTCTAGACTTCTGCTTTTCGCTAGTGCTCTTTTTTCACAGAAAAATTAAACATGGTTTACAATTTTTAACAGAACACAGAAACAAACAGCTCACAGACACCAACACAATAGCTGAATTCTCTGTACTTTTCCCATTGAAGAGTCACCAATGATGATGATTTAAAAAAAAAAAACCAAAAAACACAAAACCAACCAACAAACAAAACCACACAGAAACTTGAAGTATATTTTGGCCTGTGCATTCAAGTTTTTCCTAAAGAGGAACTGGATCGTTCACATCATATACGTTGGTTCCCTTCCCCTGCTTTTTTGAGAACCAGAGACTTTGTTTTGCTTTACAGTGATTTTGAGGAGAAACACAGGGGAGGGGCAGTCCTTCTTCTTTTAATTAGGCTAGTCATTTATACAATGTCTGCTCCAAAACCTGATACATTAAAAGGCATCTAGCAGATCAGGCAAATTTGCTTTATTATATTGGATCTGAAATGCTACTTCTAAGACACCAGCCAATATCATCAACTCTTCAAACACAACAAATCTTGAAATTGCAACCTTGATCTTGATATTTTGGGAACTTGAAAGGACATGTGTGCAGCTAAGAAGAATAGGAAGAAACCAGTTGACTGTTAAAATCAGAAAGAAATAGAACTCAGTTCTGCTTTGGTTTCTCCTGACAGACAAGCTACACAAAACAACAACAACAACAAATGTAAATCCACTTCTCTGCTCTTTTATTTCCCTCCCTAAAATGATAATTTACAGTTCACAGCAACCGTATCTTTAGTGGACAACGTTTATATCATTTTAAACTGCAGATAAAATTTTCTAAGGAAACTACTGTAACTGCTGTAGGATTGACAAATTAGGATATTTTAGACCCTTACGCCTTTACGAGTCAATGAAATTTCATTTGCAGGCTGCCACATTTTCTCATCAAGTGGGCTGTTCTATTTCTTGATAGCACCATGCAAAGTCTACTTGTCTGGTCAAATATCATCATAGCTGGAGATTAAAAACCAGTATGACCTCCATTCAAAGTAGTCCATTTAAATGCAGACGTCTGTCCTGCCACCTTTGTGATAAAACATGCCTCAATACCCAAATCGGGCCTCTAGCTCCATTTTGTCCAACCATAACCTCTGAAGCTTCAGTTAAGAGCATCATAAGCTAATGCTTGCAATCACACACTTTGTTAGATCACTATATCCCAGTGCAAATCAAAGCTGGGTTTTGTGCATCCTCCTGCAGGGAATACCCTCCTTTAATTCCAACTCACTCGTAACTTCATGAGGAAGCTGTGAATTTCTGCTGACTCCCTTAGCTAACATATTTCTGACTTATCACACTTACTTTAGAACAGCAATACTCCTTCTTTCCTTCTCTTCTACTATCAGTTAGAATAATCATTGCTGGTTCTTCCTGCAGGACCATCCAAACACATCATCTCAGTTTCCTTATTGGAGTTAAAAATAAATTAATAAATAAATACAAATGATCACTGTTTCAGCCTGTCTTTTAGCCCTTCACAATTCTGGGGCAGTACTTCCACAAGCAACTGATAATCAGTGCCTCTTCTACCCTGGAAAAACCTCAACAATCTACACAGCTTTGTACCAGTAAATCCAATGCAGTTGGTCACACTACCAAAAAATAAAACACTTGATTAAACTAAACTCTCAAAAGATCTCTTTTGTTCATATTGTCTAGTTTAAAAGAAAAAAGAAAAGATAGTTTGCTGGTTCTACCAGGACACTCATTTAAGTATCCAGAAGCAGAGTTACACCTTCTTCTTCACAGCAAATTACAGGTTTATTCTTTTCTGCCTGCTGTGGAGCTGCCCTGTCCTTCAGCCATACGTATAAGTCTCTCAGTTACCATGTGTGCTGCGTTATCAGTTCAGGGCAACTCCCAGCATTCTCAGTTCACACATTTCCTCTTCTAAAACCTTCTTATCATAAGTGGGCCCCTCCAGCACCAGCTTGTGGCTGCAGGACAGCTTCTGATCACCAACTGCTGCAAAAGGGAGAAACATTATTTATCCT